TGTTGGGGTTCTTGCTTGGCGTTCTTTCCTTGTGGAAGGAGGTGGTGTGCTTTTGTTCCGCCTTTTGGCGCGGGAACGTGTCCCGGTCACTGGACCCATGGGTCAGGGTTTGGTTGGAGGTGGGAAAAAAAAAATAAAAAAGCAAGGAAGCAGGAAGGGGGGAAAAGAAAAGTGAGATCACCTTAAATTAAAGGAAGAGAGATCAAAACATGTAGAGACGAGACGGAAGTGGGCGAGAGATGTTAATGTAGCGATGAAATAAGGAGAGGGAGAAAGCCTGTATTAAGCGGAATTGAAGAGTATAGAAGAGTATAGAAGATGCTCAAGAGCCAGTGAAGGCAGGACGTGGGAGAAAGAGCAGGAAAGAAGAGGACGGAGTGTTCAGGTTCAGGTTGCAGTATACAAGAAAAGTGAGGCGTTATGAGGAATAGGCAGAGAGAGAGAGGGAGAGGGGGAGAGAGAGACCTGATGAAGGGAAAGAAATAGAAAAGTATGCGAAGTCGAACTCGGAGGGGTAAGAGATCCGTGAGGAAGGAGCGTGGGAAAGAAGGGGTGAGAGTGAAGTGCGTGAGTGTGGGAGAGAAGGGGGACAAGAGAACGAGTCAAGGGGTGAGCAGAGGAGACATATGAAAGTTATGAACAGTAGAGAGAAAAGGAGCAGCTAGACAATTACTTTAGAAAAGAGTGAGCGGTGTTAGACGAGGAACAGGCAAGAGAGAGAAACCAAAAGACGAAGAGAGGGTAGGAAGATAATCAGATATGAAGGACACGTGAAAACGGAGACGAGGTGAAGGTTAGGAGAGCTGGAGAGAGTACAAACAAGGTGAGTGCGCAGATCGAGCGAGTCGCTCGCAAACCAGGTATTGGGAAGCCCTGAAAAAGGCAGTTCTACCCCCAGCAGCTGGGGCATGGGAAGGCAGTGGACTCATTGCGAGCTGCTGCCAAAACTTCACGATAAACTGTAAAGCAGGCAAGCATTCTTATAGGCAGTATTAGCATGATTAATTCCTTAACTCCATGAATTTATCTCATTTATGGAGAATCATGAATGAAGAAATGATTGCTCCGACTGATTGCCTTTATGAGATATGACAAAATAAATAAGAAGGTGCTATGTACTTTTGCGTAGGACGAATCTAGAGAAGGGTGGAAGGTACTTTTGGGTACTGTCCGGAAGGCGAGAACCATGCTGCCATCTAGAGGTCTAGAAGAGAATTTCAATTCTCTGATACTTTCAAGTGCAATTGAGGCACATTGGATCGCACCATCCGTTTGGTATGGAATCAATGATGGCAGAACAATATTAGACAATAGAGAAAACGCTTCGCCAAAATTGGAAATATTGGCGAAGCAATTTTGCGTGCTGTCGATTTATGCTAAATTGAATTGAAAGCCAACCTGGAGTCTTAATTGGGCCTGTGTCTTTTGCAAATGATGCGCCAATGCTGGGAAACCGGCCTAGTGCCAAGAAAGGGCCCATGTCCAGCACCAATGGAGTGCCGGAAAAAGGCTAGCCAAGCTAGAGCCAGGAATGGGCCAAACATGCCTGCCAATGCCTATGATCTGCATAGGTTGCCATGTAGGGGCCATTGTTGGACCAAGCTTTTTGGTTATGTAGGTAGTACTCGTATGTGGTGAAAGTTGGCCAAGGTTTCCATGATCATTACAAAATCGAGGTAGCATTTAGATCTAAATCACCTGACATTGAAGGATGAACCGGGTGAGCTCTTTTAGAGAAAGCTTGAAGAGGAAACAAAAGGGAACAATTAAAGATTCACCAGTGCCCTTAGCAACATTTAAAGTTGTGTTTTCCAAATTTAAAAATGCATTCACTTTCTTCTGAGTCGCACGGCTGCATTATTCATGGACGTTTCTACAATTGTGGGTTGCGTAAATATGGGAAGAGGACATGACGGGTCGCGACATTAAAAAGGTTGAGATCCACTAGAGGATCTATGTCCTAGAGGATCTGATGCAGAAAAATATGCTGGTTTGTGATGCTGAGCCCTTCAAAGAATCCGTAAACCCTCTCTTTGATGGCATCACAATTGACTGCCTGAGCCCCTTCTCTAATTATGAACAGGGAAAAACAACAGGTAATAAGGCCAGATATATTCAAAATTTTACAAAATTTGACAGCTTGAAGCAGCGCATCCAGATGTTTTTAATTATGGAATTCACTCTTGGAAGGCATCATACCTTTCTAAAAAAAAATAAACAGAACAGCTTGGTGGAGGCACGTAAAGAGGTGTTCGACTTCTTTCAGTCTACGGCCGAAGGCTTTATGACCTTTTTTAGCTCCCTTCACGCATTCCCTATGATACAGTCTCATTCCCTTCATGCTAGAACAAGTGTTCAATGATGGATGAATGATCAGATGTAGCTCTACCTCGAATTTGGCTAGGGATTCAAGGCAATTTTCTCTTTCCTTGTCAGGTGTACCCTCACTTCTCATAGAACATGTATGTGACGTATAAGCTGTAAAAGTACCTGCTCCTCCTTTTATGGCACATCCACCGGATGTGCCATGAAAATGTCTCGATTTTTCTTAAGACGGAAATTTACACAAATTTCGGAATAAGTAAACATGTGCCGGTAATGCAACTACCTTTGGATCACTTGACTGGCAAAAATGTGTACTTTTTATGAATGAATTTCTGCAGCTGGATTATCCCTGAAAGCCTTTTGTTCTCTGTCCCCAATAGTTAATACCCTCATGTTTCTCTATATTACCCCAAATTGGAGTTTTAATCCATATACATTAAAAGAACATTGATGAAAGTCCTTTTTGCCTTTAAGTGATTCCTTTACAATTTTTCATTTGCAGGCGCATCAGGAGTTTTTGAAGAACATGAATGGGTTTCAGGGAGTGCCACCAAAGCCGAAAATTCTAGCTGCTAAACCAATTGAACCAGTTCCTGATGATGTTCCAGAGCGCTTTGACTGGCGAAGTAAAGGAGCAGTTACTCATGTCAAGGAACAAGGGCAGTGTGGAGCATGCTGGGCCTTTAGTACTGTGAGTTATCCTTACCTCAATATACAGCGTGGCGAAAACTTTCTTACCACATAAAAAGCACTGAAATTCATTTAAGGACATTTTAAAGTCCCTTGTGGACCATTCAACGTCAACTGACCAGGTGGCTGACCCTTGGTTATCTTAGAAATACCTTGGAAATTTTCGAAGCTACCAGATCTTACATGAAACTCCAGAATCTGCAATTTTCATTTTTTCCTGTTCCTTCAGATATTGAAGTTTCGGTTTTCAGGCACATGTGACCCCTCAGGCGAATTTCATGCCCATCAAACTACGCCAGCTAAAAATACGTGTAATGGCCCATACGAAAGGCTTGAAATTGTAGAATGTAATTATGACCGCGAACATAATGGTTTCATGAAACCTGAATTAAATGTATTTTTGAAAATGTTATACTTTTGGGCAATTTCACAGCCCCATTATCTTCTGTGGGAGTCAGCATAACAAATTGGAAAATTTTAGTGGTAAGAGTCCCTCTCTAGCTCATTTTTGTGGTACGAGCGTGTTTCAATAACTGAAGAGACTTTACTTGAATCTCTCTATGGCTTTTTTAAAAATTCGCCTTGTTTTGTTGAATGTGCTATTGGTACCTGTGCATTTTTAATGTTTAAGAAATCTACATGTGTCCAACATAACGCAGCACTAGCTAGGGTGCAAAGATGCTACACCGAAGTCAGCATTTCCTTCACTTTCGGTCTTTCACTTCACGTTGAATGCCACGTCGAAGCTGCGTAGGACGTTAGATTGAGGGGTGCCTTAATTTCTCCATTCGTCCCTCTGGTTCTTCAACTCAGGTTCACCCAGATTTCATTAATGGCTATGATACATGCGAAGTTCCTGACCGCCATCAGTCGTCCATTGATGTTTCATTTTATTGGCGATTGAAAAGCAATAACCTTCCGCTTCCTTTACTAATGCTATTTTATAAGGGGACGGGGGACGGGAATGAATGATCGGGATTAAGTGTTGGAGAAGGAAGATGGGTGTGCATGCATCGATGTTCCTTGGTTCGACGTGGACAGGATGGGAATGTATGGAGATGTCAATGAGTGATCTGATTTTGAAATGGTTTTCAGAACAAGAAAGATGGAATTACATAATAGTGACTGGATGCTGAAATTCAGTCCCTCCATGCAGAAATGACTGTACGAGTGTTTGAATTCATTTTACTTTACATACAACCCACCCTGGTTTCATATCATTTACCTTTCGACTCGAAATTGACGGATAGAGTTATCCCTTCACACACTCGTAAAGAACTTTGCCCCTTCCTCTTTAGAACCCAAAATTTGAAAGGAAAAGCCCATTGCCGTAGTTTTATCCGTCAAACTCAAACTCTGAAAATCGCTACTACAGAGTTCGTTTTTCAATAAATATGCTTACAGATGAGGAAATTCGCGCAATTTCTTCGTGACTAAGCGCGCCCACCGAAAATTGCGCACGTGAAGCAAACCGTAGAAGGGTTAAGAAAACAGAACTAATGCTGATTCTTGTTTCCAAAATTAGCTCTTCACCTGCCCAGCGCCTGTCTTCCAGAAATAAATTTCCTTAGATTGGGAGGTGTTGCAGTCACTGCTACAGTGTTTATCGAATGAATTCGTCCCCCTCTTATTATGGACTCCTATGATTCTCCATGTTTTTCTATGACGCATCTGCGGATACTGTAACTGCTAATAGCAACTAATCAGGGTAGTTGTCAGCCATGTCTCTATGCCCTCCATTCTCAGCGATTGGGGAAAGCGTATTTCCCCATTTTCAGTTTCCTATTTAAATCTCGCTTAGTCTTTCCACGAAAAAACTCGTATTAATTCATGGCATTTTTTTGGGAGTTGATGACGTGCCTCTAACTTCCTTCTTTCGTTCATTTCGATCACATCTGTGATACCCATTGACTACCGAAAGATTTCACAATCATTATTGAGACTCATAGAGGGGAAAATACTCCTCTGCTCTGGGTACTGTGTCCAATGATAAGCATTTTCGACCGTCTCCTCATCTACCGGTTGTTGCACATGTTATAGCACCCCCGTCCACAGCCAGGATACAGGAGCTAGAAAAACATTTAAAATAAATTTTGAATCCTTGTTTAATTTTGAATCCATTCTTCCCATTTTGCTTTTTTCCGATGTCGTATGATGGTGAAGAACTTAAATTCATTGATCACATCCGTGCAATTACATTTTGAGCTCATGATGCCTGAGCTGAATTCGTTATCTGTTCATGGGTTTCGAAAAAGATTAAACGTTCAGCTTCCGTCTGATGAAGCCATATTTTTCAAAGCTTTGATCTCACGACAATTGCTTTGAGACGCAGGAACTTGTTTTTTTTTTTTTTTAAATGCGGAATGACCAGGAAACTCTCCTGATCTAAATGCGGCTGAGAACATTGGAGTTATCCTGAAAGACGGAGTTGAGGTTCATGCATATGGAGGGCAAGCAGCATGGAGCTATCTATGTGCAACACCCGGTACATTGTATCTCCTTCAAATGTCTTGTATTTCTACATTTGATTAATTGACAAGCATACACTAGATTCTTGTCCATTTCTTCTTCTTTAATAAAATGTACATTGAACGTAGACTGCCAACCATTTGAGGTTTTCCTAGAAGGAAAAGGGAAAGAGAAAGTAAAGCTTCTATATTTAATTGAAGGAGAAGGCTAAGTAAGTTAATAATTAAAATTTCGTATTACTCATCGGGTTTCCAGAATATTGAGAGTTGGGAATTTATTACCGGTGTGTCTTTTTTCTTTGATGATAAAATTGTAAGATCAAAATTAAAAGCGCGTCCCAGTAACATATGACTGATTTCTTGATTACATCGATGACCAGGTGACGATATCATTTTTACTTCAGTGCTCTGAAATTCCTCAAAGTTCACTTGGCTCAAACTTTGTTCAAAGAATGTTGGTTATTGCTCGTTCTGATTGGCATCATGTGAAGTCGGCGAAGCTCCTTAATGGTATCATTCTGGTCAATGGTGTTTGGGTAATTGACTAGGATCGCAATTGTGGATAATTTAACTGTTTATGGGATGAAAAACAGATGTCACACTCTTCTCACAGCCAACAGCGCCACCGCCAGTTGCAAGGGGGGAGGTGAATTTATTCGATAAGGACTTTTATTTCTGACATTACTTAAAATTATCAATGAAGGATGGACCACCTTGTAATCGCTAGACCCAGTGGTTTACTGTTGCAAGGCTTAATGAAATCCGACCACATGCTTCCGCAGAGCTTAAATTACATTGTCCTTGGTATTCGAGCGATAGAAATTCCATTGTTATGAATGCTCGCTGCTGAAATTCAGTCATCTCCATATTTTACATTTTTGTACATATGGTACAATAATGCTAAAAAATTGAAGGACACGTTTCCTCGAAGCGTATGGCAATGATCTCTTTTAAGATGAGATATGGAATTGCATAAAATGTTATCTACCGTTCACAGCGATCAACATTTTCAAACAATGATTTCATTACCTCGAAAACGCATCGCATTTGTTATCACCATGGGGTCATTCTTCTTGCCAAATACTCCTTCATTCATTCACAGACTGGATCATTAGAGGCGCAAATATTCAAAAGGACTGGGAAGCTTGTTCCCCTCAGTGAGCAAAACCTCATCGACTGCTCAAAGACGCACGGAAATTTTGGTTGCTACGGTGGGTGGATGAAGAATGCATTCCAATATATCCAAGAAAATGGAATTGAAACAGGAGAGGCATACCCCTATGAACAAAAGGTAACATTTCTACTTTCCTTTTTTGAATTAATCTCTTTTTAGACTTCGGTTATTCCGCTTTCCGAATAATTTTTCCGCTCTTCCTGGACTAAATTCAGCTTCACGTCGTTACTTCTGTTCTCCAGGAGTTTCAGAGATTTCTCATTAAGCGTCAAGTTACTCCCAGTTCTGTTACGTCATTGTCAACATGAAAAACTAAGCATTAGGAAAAAGGAGATTCTTTGCTTCTCCCCAAATGATCCTCATATATGGCCGCATCGCTCGAGCAAAATAAAGTTTTGGGAAAGATGGCACCTCTCCCCATACACATAATTGCGTCACAAATTTGCATTTCTAATAACCTCTGTATCACAATAATTATTTGTGAAGCAACTTTTAGCTAACCATATTTACCTGTTCAAATATTGCAAATTAATGTCAAAACATATCCTCTCATTAAGTTAATATTTTCAATAATTGCTGGTAGCAATGCTTCGGCCAAACAAATCCATAAAAAATTATCAGAATCAGTTAAAAACATACCCGCATATGCATAACGAATGCATCATAACATAACTTCATTGTGAGCGGAGATATTTAAGTTAAAAGTCGCTGGTCAATCTCTTTTCCCATTCTCTCTATATATATATGATCAATCAAAAGCAATCAAAAACTACCTATTCCTCTTGCATCCACACACATTCCACGTCTCGTTGTCATGGAAACTGTCACTACAAAGCAGCACCTAGAACCGATGCGTTTAGATGAGCCCTGGTCAGGGCTCATCTAAACGCATCGGTTCTAGGTGCTGCTTTGTTGCATTTACATTGCATAGTATAGACATTCCGATAGTTACAGCAATTTCATACTATAGAGAAGTGAAAATCATGATACATGTGGAATTCAATGTACATAATGAAACCGCAATTTTTGGAATGTAATTTAATAAAAATGTAATTTACTTTCATTTGGAGAATTAATAAGATGCCGCTTCACAAATTGGAAGAAAATTCTAGTTGGTGAAAAGCTACTTCCGTTTACTTTTTGCTTATCAAATAGATAAGTCTAAGAATAACATATAAAAAATAAAATAATTATCAAGTTATTTTTAACATTTCACTATTGTTTCATAAGAATAATGCGACACCCTGAACCACTATTAATTACCCAATATTACTAATGTTGTATTTAAGTTATTCCGACATACTTCCGAGGTAAACTCTATTTATGTTCATAAAAGGAAAAAATTCTTAGCTGGAGCCCATCCGCAAAAAACTCATCCCTGCAAACATGGCCAATCAGAAAAATTGCCACTCAATAGGTTACAGTTTTTCCCAATTGCTAACGTCCGTTTCTCGAAACTATACTTCCGCTTTCAAAACTATTTGAACAAATCCCAAAACTGTAAACTTTTCACAAAATTTAACATCCGATTTCGTTGCTAACGTACGGAAAGCGAAACGCGATTTTCATATCTTTATGTACCTTTTTCGAAACCTAACGTTCGGAAAAGTATAAGACCGATTCGACCAGTGCGGACGATGAATGCACGGCTTCTGACGGCAATCTCTATCCTCCAAAAATTCCTTCCAACCAATCACAGAGGTTTTCTCATCGTCCAGAGTTGTCAGAGCTGAATGCTCCTTTTCAAACGTTGAAATAGTTTCTTACGTCGATACAGAAATGTAGCTGGCAGACAATAATGCTGACTGCTATTCAGAAAAATAAAAAATACATGATCCTGAGTATTTACTTACGATTAATTTCTGCTATAATATAATCAGTTAAAAAGGGTTGAACAGAGAGAAAAGAGAAAGTCATTTTTGGTCATTTTTGTTTATCATAAGTTACCAAATTGTTATGACCTTCGGACCAATTTTTGTTCGTAGATATGATTGTACATTGGGAAAATCTCATGTTGTGATCTCCAAATCTTTCCAACTTATGCTCGCTCTATTGGCGCGTTGAGGGGTTTTCGACCGGATACAACGCCCTGCACCCTTATGAATGACGACATAAGTCAAGTGACTTCTCAAAATAACAGTCTGACCTCATTAGGGTGTGGGAAGGTAGTAATGGGCTTGACCGGCAGAAACCGTGATATGTTGTGGAACAGAAATGTGCAATTTCCCCTTCAACGAAGGCGAGAGGGGAAGAATGGGAGTAGGGGGGGCGGGGGAGGAGGAGTTTGTGTGCTTTCAAGCAGCACCTCGTCCATACATCTCACGCGAAATAATAAATGGTTTGATAGTTTATACAGGAATAAACCTATGCTACTTTGATCCTGATTGATCACTGTTGAAACATCCGCCGTTTACACATCCACTCAACAACCGAGCCAAGATGATATAAATTACCAGAGTAGAAGTTGAGGACAAGAGTCCTCATTGTATGATCCGCGAAACTGTAAAAATACTTTATGAACAACAAATATGACAGAAACGTCAGTGTATTGGCACGAGCACACCATCGGCCAGATATAATGACATGTATTAATTTAAAATTGTCATACGGCATACGTGCCAAACGTCCTTCAACGAAACATATTTTCCAATAGAACACTTTCCTGGTGTCCTTTAGAAAGAATTTAAGACACTCGCGTCAAAACTTAACGTCCTTCCCTCAAAAAGTAACGTACGCTCCATTGTTTGATATTGGGGAGATTCTGGTCGATTTCACTAGGTACGGCTGACAGGGCGGGCATCGATCCGCGACACTCGTCGCCTTCCTATTCAAGGTAATGGATCGTCCTGAGAGTTTTCCCGAAGGTGCCTTAAGTTTTGACTCCAGGTACGTTAAAAATTGATCGTAGGACGTTCTGTTTCGACTTTTGTGGATCGGAAATCGAATCGCGACAACAGTACGTACGGTTTTGGCATAGGTGCGTTAAGTTTTGATAGTCTTCATTCATCAAGAAATCGCAGATACATATATGAGGGCATTGTGCATTACCCTAGCCTGGCCTATAGTTGCGAGAAGCTCACACAGTTTTCTCGATCCCGTACGTCCAACATGGAGTCTCAATGGTGAAATTCAAGCGGATCATGAAAATACTTGAAATTTTAAGCTTGAGAAGAAAAGAGAAATCCATGTCAGGACTCTAGAAGTCTTTGTGACCCTTACGAAAAAAAGTTTATTCGATGTGAAACCTAAAAATATTTACCTATCATTATAAATTGCGTCTATTGGGGCTTACAATTCGTTGTAGTGGATTTCTTTTCATTTCCATACTAGAAGCAGTGACATACACGTGTATATTATACTATGGTCGCGCCTTCGGCGCTCCATTACCTTGGATATTGAATGATTCATTCATTTTTTGCGAAATGGGAAACACGTAAAGTACGTCCCCATTGAAATACGTGACATATGGGGTCCAAAGTCTTCACTTTTATCGAATTCTTTACTTCTATGATTCTATGTGTGCCTAGCTTTAAATCTTTGCTTGTGTTCCTTTTAGTGAGGGTGGAGAATACATTTTGAAATGCTTCCCTCTAATAATCTACGCTAAGAAGACAAATTTCAAAAGTAGGAGTTTTCCTGTACTCAGCCATTAAATAGGTATTTCTGAAGAAAGTTTAAATTTTCTGTCTGTTTCGTTATATCAAAAAAATGTCAGGAAAATGGGACTTAAAGAGCCCTGATGGGTTTTAGCGAAAAAATTTCTTTCTTCTGAAATGGAGACTCGGAACTCCATGCCACCCACTTTCAGCCTTATACGTTTCCCCTTTTTGAATTAGCGTCAGTCAGTCACGATCGACTATATACTGTATATTAGAAAAGTAGAATTTTTCCTTTACGCAGCTATCCATCAGGTACTTATTTGCCAAGTTTTTTTTTTAACTTTCATGCCCCCTCTGTTTTGCTGGATCAGAAAATTCGTGAAAATATGCCTTTTGCAAAATATGTGCCCCGAGCCGTTTTAACCGAAACGTACCATTCTTTCTTATCGAAATCCATCCTCAGTGAATTACATCCCCACAACGTTTCAATATTATACATTTGCCCTATTCCCTGGTGAAAAAACATGTTTGGAAAAGCCGACCCAACCTAACGCTATGCCCGGAGGGGATGCACCATGAAAGCTGAATACTCCTTCAGCTCAGTAATATCATGTCACTTATACGTGTGCGAAGTTTCACCTTTCCATTTCTTTCTAATTCGCCACGACAATTTCTTTTCCTAAACCTCGAAAAAATTCCCCCAGGGGATGTATCGAAACTTAATACTTTTATTTAACTCTTTGTCTCAGTTGTCACATTCATTCAAAGTTTCAGCTTTTCATGCTCATCAGTTTAACTGAAGCAAAAAAAGTAGTTGAAAACATCTCCCTTTGAAATTTGTGCCCCCAGTGCATTTACTTCTAAAGCCTGAAGTTTTCTGCAGCATCCCAACAGGTAGTTATGTACCAAGTTTCATCTTTCCACACTAGCTCAATATGCCATGACAAAAAAAAATCATTGAAAACGTCGCCTCACAAAAATATGCCCCGAGGGCATGAATCTAAAATTGTTCATTTTTCCTGAACTCATCATCTCGGTAGGCACGTCCATGTCAAGTTTCAGCTTTCCATGTCTCTCTGTTTTACTGAGGCAAAAATCATGTTATGGTGGTGGAATGAGTAACGGGACATGGAAAGCAAAAAACGCTAAAGGAAAGCCACGGAATGGCCGGGAATTGAACCCGGACCTTCTGATTGCCATTTAGAGATGCTAATACTACACCACCGAACCCACGACATGCTCTCTGAATGCCATCCTCATCTGTCACGAAATATATTTAAGAAAAACGTTTCGCCCCAAAATTTGTACCCCCAGGGCATGCACCTCCAAAGTGGGATTTTCTCTGAACTCTGCATCCCAAAAGGTACACGTGTACCAAGTTTCAGATTTCTAACCCTTCTAGAACATGGTTAGAATTAGCGTCAGTCAGTCACGATCGTCTATATTAGATGTTGGATTTTTCCTGTACTCAGCAAACAGGTACTTCTGAGCGAAGTTTAAGTTTCCTGTCTCGGTTTCGTTTGATCAAAAAAAAAATTCGCGAAAATGGGACTGAAAAAAAGTGTCCTAATGGGATTTAACGAAAATTTTATTTCTTCTGAAATATAGACTCACGAAATTCCATGCCACCCAGTTTCAGCCTTATACGTTTCCTCTTTTTGCTGGCGGAAGAAAATATATTTGGAAGAGCGACACACCCAAACGCTGTGCTCTGAGGAGACGCACTACAAAAGTTGAATTTTTCCTTAAATCAACGTCACGTCCGTTATGCGTGCGCCGGCTGCTACTTTTCTATTTCTGCCCGATTCGCTGGGATATAAAAATTCTGTGAAAGCGTTAGGTCCCCCCAAAATATTTTGGAAATTTGACATTTCACATTTGAGCGCAGTGCGTCAGCAGTCACATTCTTGCCAGGTTTCAGCTTTCCATGTTTCTCCGTTCGATTGAAGCAAAGTTACGTGAAAACGTCGGCCCCTAAAAATATGCCCCCAGGGCATGGATCTAAAATTTTCCCTTTTTTCCTGAACTCATCGTCTCGATAGGCATGTCCATGCCAAGTTTCAGCTTTCCATGTCTCTCCGTTTTAGTAACGCAAAGGTATTGTTGCGGAGGGGGGATGAGTAACGGGACTTGGAAGGTATGAGAGGCCGAAAGAATGCCAAGGAACGGCCGGGAATTGAACCCTGGCCTCCTGATTGCCGGACAGGTGTGCTACCACTACACCACCGAATCGAGGAAATTCAGCCAACCCTCTCGATGCCATCCTAATCCGTCACAATATATATCTTTAGAAACTTCTCCCCCCAAAATGTGTACCCCTAGGGAATGTACCTCCAAAGTCGGATTTTTTTCTGAACTCTGCATCCCAGTAGGTACACGTGTACCAAGTTTCAGATTTCTAACTTTTCTAGAACATGGTTAGAATTAGCGTCAGCTCTATCAGCCAGTCACGATCGTCTATACAGTGAGGGACAAAACTGTCCGACACATTGGCAGTTTATGACTCATATCTCGAGTATGACATGTTCAATTTAGCTTAAATTTCAGTCAATCATACTCCTACTTCCTGGCTTTTGATTGGCGCTAGTCACATGTCAATTGACCTCCTTTTGTCTAAGGGGCAGTTGTTCAAAGCGAACGAGTTCATTGCAACAATTTTGTCCCTTTCACCCAGGCATACGAAAAAACGAATTTAATACTTTGTGTGCTTGCCTTTGGCCTTCAACACTGCCTGAACCCTTCTAGGCATGCTTTCGATCATATCCAAGCATGTTTGGACTGGAATGGCGTCCCACTCAGTCTTGACCCGCTGCCAGAGCTCGTGGATGCTGACGGGCTCATTCTCGTACCTCGCCAGCCTTCGCTTCAAATGTTGCCACAAGTGCTCTATTGGGTTGAGGTCTGGCGACTGTGCTGGCCATTCTAGGACCTCGATTCCATGGTCCTGGAACCATTGGCGAGCCAGCCGCGATGTGTGTTTCGGATCATTGTCCTGCTGAAACACCACCTCTCCCACTTCGAGGCGGTAATGCGCCAGTGTCTGGAGCAATTTTTTCTCGAGGATGCTTGTATAGAGCCCGCATTCATTCTTCCTTGGATTTGACAGCCAAACCCGACTCCTTTGGCCGTCATACAGCCCCAAAACATCAGGCCACCTCCACCAATCTTGCGGGTCTCCCTCATGTGCCGCTCTGCTAGGGCTTCGCTGGGCTGTTTCCATGTCCAATCGCCCATCCGACCTCATAAGGTTCATTTTTGTCCCGTCTGACCAAATTATGCGTTTCCAGTCCTCTACAGTCCAGTGTTGGTGGCGCCCGGCGAATTCTAGCCGCTGTCGGATATACCGCGGCTAGAGTTGCGGCTTCTTTCGCTTGGTTGTTGCCCTCAGACCAGCTTCTTTCAGAGCTCTGCGAACGGTTTTGGCACTGCATTCTACCGAGGTGCTGCTTTTGAGCTGCCTCGTCGCTTGCACTGCTGTGTCAACCTGACCCGATGTCACCATCCTGATGNTTGGGACTGTACTCGCTCGAACGAAGGTTAAGGAGGGGCAACCTCATCCAGTGTTGCATGATGAAGGAATAGATAATGTAGAGTGTGGTAGGTTTTCGTAGGTAATCGGAGAGAGTCATGCTCTGAAGTGTTTGATTTCATGTGGAATGACATTCTTTGGAACTATCCATTTAAGAAAAAAAATGGGGGGGTGGGGGGAGTAGGAAACATTCTTGATACTTTTTCAAAAGAACCAAATTATCCTTTAGGTTGTGTTACAAAGGGTACCAACGGAAGAAGTAGGGTGTAACATCTGGGTTAAACTAAGTCTCTTTCCTATTTCCCCACAACCCAGGAAATAAATTTTGAAATATATTATTTTATCAGGAAGATGATCGTGACAAACAGATGCTAAAAACGCGTTTGTTGCAAATGTCATAGGAAGCTGAATTTTGGTACACATTCACCTGTAAAAAAAAATGCTTATTTTAGAATAAATCTTTCATTTGGGATTTTTCACTCTGGAGTGAAAATTTCTCACTTCGAAATCTTTTCACTTAGCAACATAGTTTTAACAGTTACGTTATAATAGACTATGTGTGATGATAAATTTCCACAGAACTTCTGAGGGAAACTAAGATTCTTCTGCTGCCACAAGGAAAACTTAATCTTGGTTGCAGTTTCTGCATCATTGGACTTTTTCCCCAACTTCTGTTTCTGATGCAGACCCAAAAGCGTTGCTCTTATCTTGAATGAAGAAGTTGGGCGACTCATCCTTATATTTTATGTAAATACATATGCAGATTTTGACATTAATAGCGGTTCTTTGGCTTAAAAAAGATGACAGTCATGATTCCAAAATGTTCTAAATTCAAGGTTGAAGTCTTTCTTCAGTTGAAGCCATACTGAAAAAATTGTTTATAAGTGCAGTCATATCACTTCCAATGATGCGGCACTGAAGGCGTACGTTTAAGCAAATTTAACCGATTCCTGCGGCCTAGCGCCGAGGGTGTGGGAACAGTATTAGTACATGTGCAGATCGGAATCTGCACATGTGCAGATGATGCAATCTTGTGGTTTTTCTTCATAGGATGGAGTGTGTCGCTACAATTCCTCTAACATTGGAGCCATCATTACGGGATATGAATCTGTCACGAAAGATGAGAGAGAACTAAAGAGAGCGGTGGCTACCATCGGACCGATCTCCATTGCCATCAATGATTCTCCCTTGTCCTTTCAGTCATATGAACATGGTGAGCATTCTCGAATAATATACTTTTTGTCACATCTCAATGTTTAATGAAAATACGAGGGTCACTCAATAAGTTACCTACCTGAATATGAAAGAAACATCCGAGGGGAAAAATAACACTTTCTTTTTCAATGTAGTCACCTTTTAACTCAACACACTTATTCCACTTTGATTC